CCCCAAATTCATGATTCGAATGAAATCATTGCTTTAAAGTTCACAGAATCCCAACCGCAATTAACATTCTCCTTGCTTCAGCGGGGAAAAAATAATAATCTATATATCCCCATCTCTTCTTTTAACATTGACTTTGTAGGAGTTAAGTGATGCTGAAGTCACATTTTTTTTCTCAAATACTACATGCTTGATACTGAAGAACCCATTTTTTAAAAAAAAAAACCCACCAAGAGAAGGTCAAAAAGTAATGAAACATTTGCAATACAGAGGGTGGTTCCTCCTCCCCATTTTCCTGCATGTAAAAAATATATGCTCAAAGCCAAGCTGAGCTGAGCTTACAGCTTAAATAATAATGATTTTTTTTTTTTAAAAAAAAAAGCAAAAGTATGCCATGAAAGATCACCGAACTTCTCTCTCCACCACCTTCCTAATCTTGTCATCTCTTTGGCACTATTGGGCGAATAGCTAATCAGAACGGAATTACGCAACAATTTGACAGGGAAATGTTTCTGAGGAAAAATGTGTGGGGTGATGAATAGAGGGGAGGAGAGTTAAATATGGGATATATATTCCAGGACTCACCAAGGAAAGGAGAGAAAGTTACTTGCTTGGATATTTGTTTTAATAACTGATTTTTTTTTAAAAAAAATTGCTCACATTAAAGTTCATAGCTATGCCAGAATACCTTATACCGGCTGGAGTTTTAAAAAAAACATAATCCTGCCATTAGAGGAATCTTTCCACCCCAATTTGCCTACCTGCAAGGTATTCTGGCATGTCCTTGGATCAACTATTTCATTCCTATCAGAAGGCAGCCAAAAGGTCTGGAGCTGGCTCTCTCAATACAAAGTGAGCATTAGCCCTAAAGGAGATTTTGCACATTTAGTCTGTACAGAAACTGGCCAGAGACAGGCCCCTTTGGTAATCCACTGTCCCAAACCAAAAAACCAGACTAGATAATATACACATCGCTTTCAGGGACACAGATTCAAATCCTGTTAAGTACATAATTCATTTCTTACACTAGAGCTCTTTAGAAATATTAGCACGGGATGTCTCTATCCCGTGATTTGGAACTCCTTGGGCAGGGTGGGAAAAGAGGAGAAAGAAAACGTAAAAAGTAATGAACGGTGCTACAAATGGGTTTTCTTAAGCTCCAGCAACCTCTGGGGAAAAGTAAACAAAATAAAGTCATTTTTTAGAAAAAAAGGAACAGCATCATTTTATCAGGATCAGTTATTTTAAATTCGCTGAAGTGCCCGCTTAGGAATATATGATCAATTTATCGCTTCTCAGTACTTGCCCTCTACAAGGACATTTACATTCAGTGTTTGTCAATAGTTATATGGCTCAGCTGGGCTCCCAGCGGAAGGCCCATTTATCTAACAATGGCAGTGCAAATACACTTGTCAAGCTGAAATGTATTTGTGCTGTTTATTTTTTAGAACACAACTTCCCTTTGTTCTATTTCTCTGAACCCTAGAACCACGACTCTAGAGCTCTGAAGTAACTTAAAAGAATTCTCCACCCATCCTCCCACCCAACATAGATTAATTAAAAAAAATGTGGGGGGGGGGGAGGGACAAAAAGGAAAATAGGCTTTTCCTGATACCGTAATTCCCTTGCTGGCCTTTCTCCTATAGGTTATTATAAAAGGGGGAATGAGACCCTCATGCTTTTAAACAAAAGTGCTTTTTTTTTTTTTTTTAACTTGTAAAGCAAGTGCTTTAGAGAAAGGGGGTTGGAGAAAAACTTCCTTATTTGGATAGGTTAAGAAGGGAAGCCCCATGATTGCTTTCTGAGACAAGTGGAAAGGAAAAAAAGGAGAAAACCACCCAGAGATATTAGGAGCAGGGTCTTCTAAGATGCAAAGAAGGATGCACGGTTAAGATAGATTTTATGCCATCCCTAAAGAAGATGGCAATAGGAAGAAGCTGTAAGCAAGATCCTCTTCTGCCCCCATTCCCCACTTTCTCCCAACCCTGGGTAAAATACTGCACACCAGGAAGTCAAATGTGCTTGCAGAATACTGGAGGGAAGGGGTAGTGAGAAAAAAAAGAGAGGACGTAACAAAGGAAGTAACAAAGGAAGTTTGCCTCCAGCCCTCTTTTACAATGCACCAGGGAAAACCAACTCTCATCTTAGCACAATGATGCAAGTTATTACCACCAGACATTTGAATTATTACTTAAAACTGTCAAGCTGTGCTGTCAAAATGTACATGTTACAGCATTAAAGGAGAACAAGACTGGCGACTAAAACAGAGCTGGCCACATTTCTTCACGCCCAACCCAACTGCTGCCTCCATTTTTTTTATTTTTATTTTTTAAAAAAGCAACAAAATATATTAATTTAGATATGCGCTGCTGGAATTGTTTCCACTCCATTTTTTTTTTCTTCATCGTCATTTTTAAGGAAAAGGAAAAAGTTAAATGGAACACTAGAAATATAATAATGTGCGATGCTACAGAGTTAAGTACGCTGAAGCCCTTAAAAAGATCACATTGATTGTCATATCTTCAATTTTAGGGTGAAATGTAAGAAAGGGAAATGCCTTTTTTGTTTTTGCAAAAATGCAATTAAAAAGAGGATCCTGCCTGATTATTTTTCATCAGTTCAGCAAAAGAAGTCCTGCACAAACCCATGACAGTTCTAATATAAGGAGGAAACATAAGAATTTAAATTCACGCCAGCCCAATTCATCTGGCACTAGGGTTAGGAAATTTACCTTATTCTAAAAACTTATCTCAGAAAGCTGATTGCATCTCAGTTTCTGCCCCTTCCTTCAAATTTCATTCCTGCTTTTTAAAAAAAATTATAAACCATAAAAACTGAAAAGGGAGCATCTCTGCCATCTAAGAACTGTGGTCCATGGAAGCTTCACCTCCCTGGTTCAAGACCTCTTGCAGATCGTAAACCATTCAAGCTATATTCATTCCCAAAAACTGCTATAGAACCAACTACAATTCAATACACAGGAGTAAAAGGGGACAAAAAATGGGTTTCTCTCTCTTCTGTAAGAACAATTTGTGCTAGGATTTCTTAATGAGTCCACATTCCTCCAGGCCACAAAGACATGGCTTGGGGTGAATAGAGACTTGTGGACTTCAATTCCCAGAATTGGCTGAGGAATTCTGGGAGTTGAAGTCCACAAGTCTTAAAAGTTGTCAAGATCGGACATCTCTGGTTTAAACTATCACACCTGTGGGAAGAGACAGAATACCTGAAGGCCTCCTAGTTCTCAGCACTGCAAGGAACACTGGATCTCCCCCACCCATTTTCCTACAAATGTCTCAGTCCCGTCTCTGCCTTTAGAGGATTCATTTAGCCCTTGAAAAGAAATCAAACAACGACCAAGAGTGGCTTCAGATTTACTTTGGCCTCCCAACTTATGTCCTCTTTGCCCTTCTATGGGGAGGAAAAGGATTGCACTTAGAAGGCTAAAATAAAATTAGGCAATTTGAAAGAAGTAAATTGCTAGTACCTAATAAAATGTAAACAAGTGGTGTTTTTTTTTCAGCTTTTCTTCTACAGGATGCTGAAAAGGACCTTTCTCATCAAAAAGCGGGGGACAGGGGAGAAGAGGAATCTTTAATTCAAGTTTTGTTCATTTCTATTCCAACAATGAGGTATTTGGTGTAGAAAGGTTAACACTTTCTTTCAAGGTAGAGAATGTGGAGTAACTGAGGGCAGAGAAAAGTAACCCATCCATAGTGCAGTGAAAACATTAACGGCCAATCTGCAACAGGCTGTCCGCTGTGCTTTTTTTGGCAAGTGCATTGAAACTTTTAATACGCTCTTTAGCTGGCAGCTGCAAAATGAAGAGATTTCTTAAGATTCCTTGGGCATCAAAGAAAGAAGAAGCAGCTAAGCTAGTAGCACCCTAGTCTCTGCAGAAGGCTTAGTCAAAGGACATTGTTAGGTTTGTTTGAAGACTAGAATTCACTACCTTTAAGGCCCCCATTTTTTTTTTGCAACCTATCCATATGCAGGAAACTAAAATAATTCAGCAAACACTTAGAAGAACTGATCCCAAATGACAGTGTAATAAATCTTTGAGAAAGACAAAGCCTGTAGGGAGGCCGGGAAAGGGAGAGGGAGGTGAGGGGAAGGGGAGCAGAGGAAGGCTCCATAAAAAAAATAAAAACGAAGTGATCATATCCTTTTAAAAAATGCACTGTTTGGCAAAGGGCAAGATAGTGGCTGTGTCATTTGGCTGTAGGAATTTGGCTTTGGTAAACAGTGCCAAAAGGAAGGGATTTGTGTCTTGTCTACACTACTATTATTTCATCATCATCATCTTTTCTAACTTCTGGATTCAACTCTCCTCTTTGAAAGATCTAGCCATGAGCCACACCCTCTGAATTGGCTGTTTCTGATTCTTTCTATTTTTTTATTTTGGAAAATCAGTCGATGCAAATAAATAAGGCTCAATTGCATTGGTGCCCACTCTGCATCGTAAATCTGGTATGAACAGGGCAGGGCAGAGGAGATATAAAGTTTGTCTGTCCATTTAAATTCTGGGTTTTAAATTCTTATACATCGTCAAAGTGTAAAATGCACCATGACGCAGAAGGATTCAGGTCTACAGCTGGCTCATATATTCTCCTTTAACAATCAAAGAGAGTGTGTAAGAAGACACCCTGGGAGAAAATAAAAACCAGTTGCTTCCCAGGGTTACTAGCCTTAAAGCTTGCTGGTCCAAACATACCATGCCTTGGAATAATTCATTCTTAAAATTCACATGTTCTGCTAAACACAGTCCCAAGCCTACCACAGCACTGCAGGACTGGGAAACTGATGGAAAAGATTATTAGGTCCTAAAGTTTTGCTTGCCCCAGCAGCTTTCATCTGATTGCTACATCCCAATCTTTGGCTTTGAACATACTTTGTGATATGGTAATCTTTTTTTTTTGTTAGTTTCTACACATGATACGGTTTACAGTACAAAAAGAAAACAGTGCGCACACTCAAATGTGTAATAAATAGGAATTTTAAAATAAAAAATACGAACTCATACTTAGCCCCACCCATGGATGGACGGACGGACAGATACACACACACCACCCCCTAATGAAATCTGCTGGATGTTATTCTAGTTGGAAAAATTATAAATACAAATGTGGGATTGTAAGATTCTGAAGTGCATTGTTCTCCTTGCAGAAAGCTTTTTTCTTTTTCTTTTTTTTTTTCCTTTTGGCTATTTTTCAAAAGATAAATGCTTGCTTCTTTATAAATAACTTTTTAGGCAACACTGACTTGTCTAATGGGAAACACTGCACAAAAACAGAGGTGGGAGAGGGTGGGGTGGGGAACCACAAAAGAAACTCTCTTTGGGGATCCAATATTTTGCAAACCGGATAACCTTCCCTCTCCACCCCCCCCCCAAAAAAAATCAGCCTCCTAAAGTGCCTGATATGGTTGGGATAATTCTGGCAGCGCATACACAGGTTTTTTAAAGAGGACCGCGTTGGTTGGGCAACAGCATCTATGGCGCACGCAAGGGACTATGAGCTGCCTAAAGTATCAGAATATCCGGGTACAGTAGTTCTCAGTTCAAGTGTTTTTCTGACTGGAATCAAAAAGGGCGAGCACAACAAACAAACAAACAAAAGCTACCATACAGGAAGAAGCAATGATAGTGGCACTTTGCCAGCAGCTGCTGCCCTTCTTGGCGGACCCTCACTGATCAACCTCCCTCTCCTCATTTCAATGCAAAACAAAAAGCAGCAGCAATTCAGGCTTCTGCTCCCTGCCTAGCCTGCTGGGTCCCTCGGAAAGATTTTTTTTTTCCTGAGGACACAGAGAAAATGATCCCAAATGATAAGGCGGCCTGATAGAGGGGAAGTGTGGGAGACCGTTAATAAGATGATCCAGATGATCAAATTCAGTCCTTCGGCTGCTGCCACAACCTCCTGCATGAAATAAATTGAATTGGCTCTTCACTCAAAAGCATCAAAGCCTTGAGAAATTGGGACTGGAAAAGGTGGGTTGCTTAGAAACATTGAACTCGGAAGAACCGGCCTATACCCTTTGGCAAACAGCAGGGGAAAAGAAGAATACGAGCAGATTTTTAAAGCTTCTTAAGAGTAAATTTAAACGAAACATTTTAAAAGGATGGATCTGTTTGGAAACCCACACTTCTTTTTTTTTTTTTTGTTAATTTTGATAGCAAAAGAAATGCTAGTGGTCAAAGCAAGTATCTAGGTAGGATGCAGAAACCGAGATCACTTTCTCTAGGTTTTTTCCTTTCCTTTCCTTTCCTTTTTTTTTTCTTTTTGGTTCCTAGGACCTTTTGGAAGGCCCATTCCCAGTCTTGTTCTCCTTTAAAGTGTCCTATATTGATAGAATTCCTAAATAAATAGAAGAGATACTAGATCACCCATCATCGTTTTTAAGCTATTCCGAATAACAGCCATCTAAGCCGATGGCATTGTGCCTATCCTTGGTGTAGGGGCAGCTGTTCCCGTTGGGCAGGGCGCTGCAGGCGGCTGTCTTGGCAGCAATCCCGCAGTTCTTGAGGAGGTTGAAGCTGAAAGGGCTGATGGCGTCTTTAGGTGGAAAAGGCTTCATGGTGGAAAGGATAAGTGCCAGGCAATCAGCAACGTCTTTGTTGGGGGCACAAGCCAAGGCTGGGGTATGGCCTGGAAAAGACAAAACAAATTCAGTTCCACAGAACAGAAGAGCAGCAACAACAAAAGCAAAGCTTTTCCTTGGGAAAGGGGGCCACCAGAGTATAAATTAAAGGACCAGATTGGACTAGTTCAGGGTAGGCAACCTCGGCTCTTTTATGACTCATGTGTCAACGCTGCAAATACTGTATGTTCTTGCTTTGACAATATGCAGAACTGTCTGGTATTTTTATAGTTAAATCAGGCAACAGTGAAAGGGGAGGAGAATAAGGAAAGCCGGGGGGGGGGGGGGGGAAGAAACCGGAAGTAAATCACATCTTCCGAGTTAATTGGAAGATGTGAACCATGACCCCAAAATAGGGGAGGGAAAAATGCCTGGAATGTATGTGCAACGGAAAAGAATCTCAGATCTAAGCATTTCCACCATGCCGTACTGACATCTCTGTAACCTTAATAAATGCTTTTAGGAAAAAAATGTGCCTGAAAGTCCTTTTAAGTGTTTCGTTAATCAGACACATGACATCATGGACTTCAACTCCCAGAATTCCTGAGTCAGCACAGCTGACTCAGGAATTCTGGGAGTTGAAGTCCATGAGTCATAAAAGAGCCGAGGTTGCCTACCCCTGGCACTAGTTGTTCAGAATTCCTTGCATTAAATATCAGATTTATATTTTCAACAGAAGGAAATGTTTTAAGGTGACACTTTTTCTATTTCATTTTTTTTTTTAAAAAGCATCCTGCTTAAAATTCAGGAAACAGAAGACAGCCAAGAGGCACAGGTGATCCTCAACTTATGACCATTCACTTATTGATGGTTTGAATTAATGATGGCGTCAGAAAAGGTACACTACACCTTGTAAAGCACATCAGACCGTTGCTAAATATCTCTCTCTCTCTCTCTCTCTCTCTCACACACACACACACACACACACACACGCACTGGTCATGTGATTGCAATCTGGATGCAATCTATGATGGGTTGCCAAACACCCTGCAATCATGTGATCACAATTTGCAATCTTTTCTGCTGGCTTCCCCAGAAAGTCAATGGGGAAGTCAGCAGGGAAGGCTGCAAGCTGCTGCCACTTGCTGACAAGACTCCCTCTTGTCTCTGGGGATTGTCTGAAAGAGCTCCCTACTGAAATCCAACCAGACACAGAGCTGAAACTCTTCGAGAGGGAACTCTTTCAGCCTGTCCCCAAGGATGAGAGGGAACTAAAATCCAAGCAGGACTTTCAGCTCCTTAGTGGAAAGGCAGCCTGGTAATATAAGGAATGTGGGGTGCTTCAAGGGGGATGTGGAAGACCCAGCACAGATCCCACACCCAAGTGTCTCTTCACTTATGGGCTGAAAATCCTGCTTGGGTTTTGGCAGGTAGGATTTTCATCTCCTAAGAGGACAGACCCTCCTGCACAGCTTATGCCAGGCCTCCCAGTGTCTCCCGCCCACCCCCTGAGGCACTTCATAGTCCCCAACTGGGACTCCATCCTCTTAATGAATGAGACTGCTCAACAACCTCAACTGGACTACCAAATTGCAGTCGCTGAGCAAAGCAGTCATGTGACATCTCACTTAATGACCACTTCGCTCAATAACCAAAATTCTGGTCCCAATTGTGGTCATAAGTTGAGGACTACCTGCTCTGAGAGCCAGAACCACCATAAATTTGCTTCATCCCCTTTTCAAACAATCTAAGTGGAGCCTCCACAACACTAATCCATGGCAACAAATACCACAGTTTAAGCAAGTGCTGGGTATATCATTTTTAACTTCTCAGAAATCTTCTTGTCCTTAACACCAGTCTCTGAGTTTCAATATTGTAGGGTATGTAAGAAAACCCTCTCTATTTCCACATTTTTATAAAATGCAGGTCCTCTATAAAGCCACCTGGCTTCATATTGACTCTGGGAGGCATACAATACTAAAATTAGATAAGGACAACAACCGCTGAAAAAATAACAAGTGTACAACCGTATTTCCCTGAAAATAAGCCCTAGCTTGATTTTTAATGTGTCCACCTAATATAAGCCCTACCCCCAAAATAAGCCCTAGTTAAGACCTCGCCCACTCCATCCCACCATATGGCGCACACGTAAAAATCAAGCTAGGGCGGGGTGTGTGGAGCTGCCCCACGCACTCCACACACTCTTACCTTAGGACTGTCACAACCAGGCCTCCCACGCCACTACACCTGTTGCACCATCGCCTGACTTCTATGGCTGCTTGCGGCCATTCGTGGCAGGATACTGCATGGGGCTTTGTGCCATTGCTGCCACTGGCACACACCATGGCACAACACACATGGCCTCCTGCCGTGAGCGGTGGCACCAGCGTGACGTGCCATGTGGCCTCCTGCCATGAACGACCACAGAAGTTGGGCAGCAGCACAACAAATAGCATGGCGTGGGAGGCCTGACTGCGGTGGTCTTGAGGTAAGTGTGTAAGACATCCCCCGAAAATAAGACCTAGTGCCTCTTTTGGAGGCAAAAAAAAAAATAAGACCAGGTCTTATTTTTGGGAAAATATGGTAGCATGAGCAGAATAATACTCTGTTATACAAACATTCCACTGTGTGGCCCACCATGCACTTTAATCAAAGGACTGACGCACAAACCAGGTTTTCTAACTCTATAATATTATTTCTGAGGTATGTGAATCCCTGTAAACAGTTCACGATGTTGTATTCTGTCTTGAGAGACCAAGAATCACTTTACACCAAACTTCCACCTTTACAATTGGAACTCCCATAATTCCTCTGGCTGTGCAGGCTGGAATTTCTGGGATAGTTACAACACATCGGGAGAGTGCCAGATTGGAAAATTGCTTCAGACAAACTAAGATAGGTATTGCAGGAGTTGACCAGACTGAGTCTGAGGGGGGGGGGGTCAAATGCGTCATCACTCTCGAGTCCCTTCATGCCCACAAGAGATCTAAGTCCAGCCCACCTTGAATTGACTCTTATCTATCGCCAATTTGCTTTGATTGTTAGTAGTTCATATTCTTGTAGAGAGCTTTAATGTACAATAAACCTATGCATTCATTTGAACTGCCTGCACTCCTGATTTCCTGCTTTGACAAGTATCTTTACTGCATCAAACTTTGTTGTTTCCCCTCCCCCCCATACTAAATGAACTCTTGCCTTGAGCTTCCAGATGTGAATGATGCATACCTTCTTCATCCACAGCAAGCACAGTGGCACCTCTGCTCAGCAGAGCCTGGACAACAGAGGCCAATCCGTTTCGAGCTGCAATATGGAGTGGCCTGTTGCAGTGGGAAGAGAAAGGATGGTTATGCTATTGGCCAAATTCAAGAGGAGGACTCTTGAACCCCACGCTCACCTCACTACTCTCCTCTTTGCAACGAGGAACATTTAATATTTACTCGGATTCGTAAATTCTACTGCCATTGTACTAACAGGACCTTCTCCACAGCTCACTTTCACGTACCCTCAAAAAAATATATATATATACCATGTAGCAACCAGAAAATTTGGCACTGGAAGGATTTGTGAAGGGAAAAAAATGGCTCAGAAAAACAAAGTGTATTTGGGGGCTCAATGTGTAGCTGTCCTCAGCCTGCTCTACAGGTATGGAGCCTCACTGCAACTCTTGTCAGCCTAAGGATTGAGGTGTGAGCCACCCAGAGTTGGTTAAGATGGGTGGCCCTACAATCCTTTTTAAGTAACTAAACATAGAAACAAATAAATAAGTTTCTAACTTACTCCCACCCTGCTGTTTGTGAGGGTGGTGTGAGAATGTGAATGAATGGGGGGCATGGCTTGGGGACGACTTCCTGTTCTTGGAAAACATGGGGAAGACGAGGTTCTGAAGGATTGCAAGATTGGGAAGCACAGCTTGGAGAATGGCGTGAGCCAGCGAAGGCCAGCGGGGTGGGGCTTGAGCTGGCATTTCTCAGTGGCAGTGGCAGGGCTGGGGACAGTAGCAACTGGCTGAGACTGCTGAAAGCCCCAGGCCTCTACTTCACTCCCAGCCGTGCTGCTGCTGAATGCCACTGTGCGTGGCGACCAAAAGAGCATAGGGACACACAATGCTCTTTTGGTGGTTTGTGGATGCTCCCTCCATCTTTTACCTTTTTTTTTTAACTTTGTTCTTCTTTTGTTCTTCACTCTGTTATTTCCTTTAAACAATATCTCTTTTATAGTTTATGACTTGTATGTGTAAACTGCCCAGACTCATTTGGAGAGTGAGATGGGCAGTGACTAAATTTGATGAATAAATAAAATATCTTGGGGAGGGGAGATAAAAATGCCCTGCGGCTGCCAAATATCTACATTTTGATTGTGTGTGTGTGTGTGTGTGTGTGGCACGCACATGCGCGGGCGCATGCTGCAACGGCTGACTTTGGACACAGGTCATAAGTTCACTTTTTCAGCACCAGGGTAATTTCAAATACTTTCTGAATGAAGGTTGCAAGTCAAGGATTACCTATATGCTGGAGGACCACATGCATTCTGCAGTTGTGGGTCCAACATTCCTACTATAGATAATACAATTAGCATTTAATCGCAAGAGTAGCAACCTTTTGCCCTTTCTCCAGATCTTCTCTGTTAATGCAGACATACGAAGTTGACAAAAGTGGAAATAATTTACCCCGTGCCTCCATTCTCATTTAAGTAGGCCTCTGTGGCCTAATCCAACTCTACAATCTCATCTAGAAGTATTTCCCTTCACCATCCTGCATTAAGCATCCAAGACTCTGCACTGATTAAGTCTATTAAACACAATTTTCAGTATGACTGATTACCTCAAAAATGAAAGAAACTTTTCCAAAATATTGGAATGAATGTCTCTGCCAAGACATGTAAAGCTTTGAAAGATTATTTAGATTCCTGCTTATTCATATGATTAGTTTTTGGAAGCTTAAATTTAAACACTTAAGAGAAAGAGATTTGCGATAGGCTGAGGAACTAGGACAATTATAATATGTGGTAATAATCCTAAAAAGTGCCCCCAAAATATAATCTTGGCTATCAACTGAAAAAAAACGAAAAAAAAACTACTGCCTATCAGAGTAAATAATAGTCGGTTATTCATTCAAACTTAAACTGAGGCAACTTCTTATACAAAGCCAAGTTTTGTTAGGAAATACTGAAAACACATTTAATCTTCCCATAATTAAATAGAAGTATTCTCCTTTTTTTGCTTCATTTTCAGTAGAATTCAATGGTATCTCATAGGACATAGGGGGTTTCTAAATGTACATCTGTTGTTGTTGTTTTGGACTTTGACCTGTGAAATCAACTTCTAATTAAGTTAAGATCTTTAAGCTACACATAGTCAAAATGCCTTCCCAAATGCAAGAGAGATTTGCTTCCCACATTAGAATCAGCTAACAGCTTGCTGAAGCCTTTTCGGCTGATTTATTTTTAGTAATATTTGATAAGAAACAAAGTGTAAGAAAGAAATTTGTTAGTTTCCACAGGCTGTGTGTGAGTACTCACATCTGTAGAGCACTGTTTGTTGCATTGATAAGGCCAAGGTCTTGGGTTTCCCCCAGAATCAACAAGGCACACTTTTCATGACCCTGGAAAGAAAAGATAAAAGAAGTCCTAAATTGCACTCGGCTCTGTAGTTTAATTCTGAAAAGAAATATGGCATGGGTTTCTTATCATGCCCTTTTCATGCAAGTGTATGTGCTTTGACACAACGGGCTTCAATAAAGTAAGCCTGGGTATAAAGGACAGAATTAAATGGAACAGAAGCAGGAATCCGTAAGCCCCAGCAGGAAAATTCTAAACTTTAAGCAATGGTTCAGGGAGAGGGGGTTAAAGTGTGACAAAGGAACTGGAAAATATTGTATGCTGATGGGATGTTTCTATCTGAAATTATGCTGCACTGTCTCCTTGTGGGAGAAAATGAAGATTACATTTGCTCTCTTATAAGTGTGAGTTCACCAGTAAAACAGGAAAAAAGACAGGGGCGATTAAAGGCATTATCAACAATACCGCCCCTGTATCACCAAAAGGGTCTTCTCAAGGATTTAGAATTCATTGGGCAGATTTCTTGGCCTTCAGTTATCATTCTATTACAATCATCAAAATCATTCCCGTGTTTAACTTTTCTGAAAGACTAGAAACCTTATATGAATTTTTTGCTGAAAGAAGAAAAAAAATGATAGAATGATTTATGGATTTGGAGATTTAAAAAAAATATGAATTAAATGAGGGGGTGATGAGACGTGTATAAGCTCTAAGAGGGAGGAGCATTATAAGATTGTAATTATATACTGAAAAGGTCAGAAGTCATAAATTTGGGTAGTTTTATTTTTTTCCTTTTCATTCATACGTTCATATAGTCATTCCATTCATTTATATAGTTATTCATATATTCATTCATTCTGGAGAAATGGTAAGACTACAGACGGCTTTGCAAAAACAAGAGCTGATAGCCATAGCAAAGAATGAAGATCCAGTGAGCAGATCAGTTCTTCGAACTTCTCTGCATGAAGAAGATAAGAGATCACCCAAAAGTACTTCAGACAGTTGCTCCTTGCAAGGAGACTACAGTCTCCAGTGGGTTTTAACACTGGGAAACAAGGGAACAGTGATCTTGCTAAAACCTTGGGTGGTACCTTTAAAAGGACAGTAAGTTTCTTTTCTAATCACATTCAGAAATTGCTTATTAACTACCTTTCAGCTATTAGAAAACTTTGGAGAGACAAGTCTGAAAATACTGGATAAGTCTGCCTTCAATCCTTAATTAAAAAAAAATACAAATGAACAACTTTTAAAAAATGAAGAGCAAAAGGTTAATTAAGACTGATTTTAGAAAAGTTATAAATAGTTCCAGATAAATTTGAAATAAGTTTTTGGAATTACTTATGAAGAATTATTTCCATAGGAAAGTTGAATTGTTTTAAAAATGGATTAAGGTAAGCTTTTAAAAACTGGACACTAAATATTTCAATTAAAAGAGAAGAACACATCAACTTGACTAACAATTACGGAATGGTGTAAAATATTCTAACATTGAAATAGTGAAGGGTATTTTTAAAAAGTGGAGTCAGATGTTAATATTAACAATGTCAACAGCAATATCTGCCTCTACAGATAGACTGTGTCTAAAATATGTTATGGAAGAGGAACAGGTTTTACTTGACAAAATAGAATGAGCTGAATGTGGATTTACAAATGACAGGTTACAAGATGTTACACTGGACATACAGAAGAAATGGGCTGTTTTAGTAGTTAAAAGGGACATACAAACAATAAACCAAGAGAATAACTTGAATAATTCTTCTACATTGGACTAACAAAAGAATCTTGTCAAAGCTTTGAAGAAACTCATGAGAAAAGACAAAAAAGAAATAAAATCAAGTTCCATGGCATTATTTGAATAGATTAAAGATTAAGATTGTTAGAAGTAAAAGAAATGAATATAAACTTGATTTATCTGATCAAAGTTAAAAGAAATGTTGTTATTTTTTGGTAACCCTTAATAGACTTTTTCTGACATCAGGACTAAAATTACAATACTTTATGGATCTGTTTATAAAGAAATGGGATATGGCAAAAAAGAGATCATTTGTTGTGATTTAAAAGAAGGCGAAAAGTTACTAAAATTGTTTGAATTTGTGATGAAGGTTGGTAATAACTTTTCTATTTCTTTACTATCTTTCTTTCCTTTTCTTTACATCTTTTCTTTTTTCCCTTTGCATGTTTTATTTTTTCTTTGCTTATACCTTTCTTTTAGCTTTTAGTTTTTATTATTGCAATTATAATCTTTAATACAATTACTTGAAAAAAAGAAGTCATTATATTTCATAACCTTCCTTCCTTCTTCCCTTGTCTTTATCTCTATGTAAATTCTTAATAAACCTTTTTTTTAAAATAATAATAATAATCCCCATATACATCTAGTGGGCCACTTTTCAACTTCCCAATAAAAAATAAATTACATAAACTCATCATTTGGAAGTAAAGTCATTTAATCACATCTGGCATAACTTTCATCATAATCTTCTAATACAGAAGATAGTCCCAAAAATTAATTTTATAGATCCCACGTTTGGACATTGTACCTTACTGCAGGCCAGGTGAAGAGCTGTGTTCTTGTTGACATCCAGCACAGTTAGATCTGCTTTTGCTCTGTACAGCAGGAACTCTGAAAATGTGTGGAAATACAACATGAAAGATTGTGTATTTATTTAAAGGATTCTTATATAACCATCAACCCCAAAGTCATAGAAGCCAACTTCCAACATTAAAATGGCAAATGAGAAAAATGAAATAAAAGCAGGGCACCTTTATCCAAAAATCAAGACAGAAAGCTTTTATACCACTAGGTTGATGTCGCTGTCCTCTTCTGAAATAATTTGGCTTTTGCCAGAAGCAGAATCATATTGGAGAAGACATTTCAAAATTCCAGCAGAAGACATTTCAAAATTCCAGCATCAAGGGAGAAGGGTCAACCAGAAAGCAAGGGAAATTAAACCCATCTAGTGCTATAGGCCTTTTTCTTATGTTGTCACAAAATGTCTTTCTTCTCAAGATATAGAGAGCCACTGCATGAGCTTGTGACATTTCCTTTTCCTCTTATATTTTTATGGGACAACACACTTCACCTTCAAATAACATTAAACCATTCCACTTCCATAGTTATAACCTTTATAGGTTACAAAATGTGATAGAGGAAGACATCATAATGGTTGTCTCAAAAGTGCTTTTTCAAAAGGCAACTGGACTATGGTTTTTGCCTTGAAGAAGAAGAAGAAGAAATTTTGCTGCTCATCCAAGAAGCTTCATCAGTTCTGGATGAAGACATAGTCCAACTGCCTTTTGAAAATAGTACTTTTGAACAACCATGACCTGGATGACTCCCCATAGACCTTTATAATAGTTGTATGCTTGAAATATGTCTGCAAATGATTTGCATAATTAGGCCACTCCAAAATTGCAAAGGGATAGTGGCGGGAAGGGGAAAGGGAATGATTCTGCACAAGTAGTGGGTGAGTGTGTTTGCGCATGCAGCTCCATTTACACAAGTGAAGGGCATGCAAGTGGAGCTGCGTGTGCTTATGCATTCAACTGCTGCTTGTATGTCCCAGTTTTGAACAGACCATGGCCTGGGAGTTGGGGACCCCTGGTCTAGAGTGAGGCAAAGTGTATTATGTCACAGTAGCATGTTGTTGCTATTTTTGGATGATGGGGGATGATGGGAGAAAAAAAATGATCTCAGGCACAAAAATATCACATGGAAGTGCTCACATGAGCTCAAATATTGTTCCTAATTCCTCCCTAGGATGATGATAGACAGAAGGATGATTACCCTAAGAAGAAAAAAGTGATTAAAAAGAGAGAAAAGCATAAATACAGAAGATGCACCACTTACCAACTGCTGCTGTCTGGCCATTTTCAGCAGCCATCATAAGAGGGGTCCTCCCCAGTTGGTCAGTTCCATCTACCTCAGCCTGGTGTTGCAAAAGCAATTGTAAACCATGGATGTTGTCTGCAAAGGCAGCAGCGTGAAGGGGGGTCCTGGAAGAAGAGGAAAGATGGAATTGTCACGCTTTCAAAAAGAACTCTATTTTTGGATGCATAATTGTAAATTATACAGGACTGTTTTCAATTTTTAATTTTTTTTTCTACATACTTGATTTATTTATTTTGGTATTTTGAAGCCACATAAAGCTTCCTACAATGTATTTTGATATCATTCCATTTCTTTAGAAGCTCAGTAGTTTCTCACTGGATGATCTCTTAATTCTATTTTTAGAAGATGCGTAGTATCCACTGAAAGCAAACATTCTGTAGTGCACAGCAAAACCCTTATTAAAACTCACTCTCAATTGCCACACTTTAGTGAAACTTAAATAAATATTAATTAAAGAGGTAGGAAAAAATAATAATAAAAGGCATGACATAATTTGCTTACAATAGACCACACTGTTATTGACAGCACATATTTCCTATAATAAATATTCAGAGACACACACATCTTAAGAAACTGATGGTAAACGTGAATGTAGATCCTTGTATAACATATTAGTAGCAGTTTTTTTAGAACTATTTAGACAATGCAAAGCCAGGGTTGGCAAATGAAGTGCCTGCTGGATTCCCAATAATTGCTTGACTCCAACTTCTGAGATTTCAGTAAGTTAGGGGAGTGTAAAGGCAATCACACAGGATTTGGGGTGCAGGTCCAAGTCTGAAAAAAGTTAGGGATCCTTGCCACTCACATATAAGAATCTCTAGAGCGTATCAGATTAAAATCCCATTTGTCCAGCATTTGATGCACACTGTGGTGATTCAAATTTAAGCTGTCTTGAATCTCATGGCATACAACTCATGGAATGAAGCCTGGGTTTTGCACTACGTAAGACAGGAACCATAGGAGTAAGACACCAAAATCCATGCTGCTAATTTTTTTTAGCCTCTATAGTATATCTTGAAGGGATATATCTCCCATTCAGATTATGGTCTGATCAATGATACCGAGTAATATAACTAGTATGTCCAAGAAGAACAGGAAGACACAATCACTCACCTTCCTTTGGCATCTCTGCTATTAACAATCTTGGCACCCAATGCTTCAACAAGCATCTCAGCAGTGCCATCCTGGTTGTTAATTCTGGAGAAGAAAGAAAAGTGTGAGAAGAAAGTAAGCAAGCATGGGTTGGTTTTATTTATTTCAGGGAGACAAACAAGTACAAAAGCATTTCAAGACCTCTCTACTGCATCTGGGTTTTAGAGGTCCAAAACAGACGGGAAAAATTTCCACTAGTCAAAATACTCCAAATTTTGGACAATTCCTTCAAGAAAACTCTCTACCAAGTTTAATATCTGTTATCTACTTTCTTTTTGGGTGTAAAAAATAAGGAAAAACTAAGGAGTTTTTCAGAGGGATCTGCTATTCAGTCTTGCCCATCAACTCCTTGTTGAATTTGTAGGTCTTGGGAAGAAAAAAAAATGTTACTGTTTTGCTAGCAATGTGAAACAAGCATTCCATAACTCAGTTGTATGTTCCAAAATACAGGTAGTCCTCGACTTATGACAATTAGGACCAGAATTTCCATTGCTAAGCAAGATAGCTGTTAAGTGAGTCGCACTCAATTTTACAATCTTTTGTTGTTGTTGTTGTTTTGCCACAATTGTTATCACTGCAATTGTTAAAGTGAATCAGGCAGTCATTAAGCAAATTTGGATTCCCCCATTCATTTTGCTGGGAAGATTGCAAATGGCAATTACAGGATCCTGGGATACGGCAACCATTGTAAATATATGCTAGCTATCAAGTGCCCAAATTTTGATCATGTGACTGTGGAGATGCTGCAATGGTCGTAAGTGTGACGATTGAAGTTAAAGTTTCATTTTTTTTTTCATCACAAGCACAAAATCCAGAAGTGATATCCAAATAAAAAACATAAATATATTCTCCTGTTTGAATAGAACAATCAATCTAACCATTTCTGCTTTATCTTCCTTGCTGTTGAAATAATATCTATTTCTATTCGCATTTCATAATCTTTATATTATCACTATATTAAAATTCACTGCATTCTTTCGAATTTTTTAACCTTAAAGGGAAAAATACTTTTTTGCATCCAATTTAAAACCCTAAGCTTTTCTTTTAAAATGTTTCTAAAATCAAAATGTTCTAATACATCTTTTTTTTAACTTCTCTTAACATATATAAAGTTCATTTTCAGATCAATAAAATTCCAACTAACTCCAAATAACTCATTAAATTTAGATCACTCTCTCCAAATTACACAGTTTTTTCCTTCTTGTATACATCCTTTTTAAAATTATTTTTTTTAAGCTAATACATGTTTTTTTTCTTTAACTTTCCCTTAACATAGATATTTTCAAATACACTTTCAATAATATTTTACAAACTTTAGGAATTACTTAAGCATTTTATATAAAGGAAAAATACATTCTCAAACTTTTGATTACGACTTTCTTTCAATTACAAGTATCAGACTGATAAAAATCCATCCTAATTCCAACTGACTCATTAAGTTTAAGTCATTCCTTCCTGCTTGTCTTCATGGAATAAAATCCCTTTCTTCTCTGGAATGTTTGTCAAGTAGCTATAAGTGTCTTTTTTTCTCAAGGATTTCTCAATGTTGTTAATGTCCATGAGGAAAAAGTCCCAAACTTATCCTTTTAAAATTGCATATTTTCTTGGAGCTTTCAATTGTGTTGGGAGGCTTATATTTAAACCATCAGAATAAAAATTAGTGTCAGGTTTATATTCTAAATTTACAATTGACTCCTCTGCATTGTCAGCTACTTGTGAAATTGCCTCGGTGATTTGGTAACTTTCTGCACATATTTGCATCTCTGAAATAGTTTGAGTAATTTTTTTACATCCTTGAAGCATAGCTGATCTATGAACTGATGGATTTTATTTAAAGGTTTTTCAAATACATCTCTAATAATTTGCTCGTCCATCTTCTTAACTCCCTCTTTAGTCAAAGAGTAGCTTTTTTGTAAGTCACTTAAGAATTGCTGGCCTCTCAGGAATCATAACAATCGGAAAGTTTTAGCTACCCACAGCAAAGCAGACCAAGCTACAAATTACTAAAAAGTAATAAACTAGAACCACAACTTTCTGCCCTTATATTTCTCCATCAATTTTTTTAAAGAATAGTCCACACTTCCTTATTTTAGCTTGCCTTAGCAGCCTTCTTCCTTGTTGTTTAACAATGAAGAGAGCCCCAAAATGGCTCTGATTTTCAAAAAATAATAATAAGCTGTGGCTAAAGAGAGCCTCTTTTTAACTTAATAAAGATTACTAGAAAGCAAAGTGGTAAATTGTTCCCTTATCTTTTGTCTTCTTTTCTGGGCAAGGGCATTTCTTGTGATAGGTCTGGGCTGGATGTAATAGCTAATTTTATTTTATGACTTGTGTAGTCCATTTGAGGCCCAGAGATATTCATGGAAAGAGAGCTGATATTCCAAGCTGCCATTTTGCTTTGTAGAATTCATTCTGTCATCTGTAATTTTATAGAATCTTAAAAATTGAAAAGTCATGTGAGGTACCAAGAGAGGTTTTATACATACACGACGTAAGGGTTATCCAGAGCAGGACTGCAATTTTGAGAGACAGTTTCAAACTCTACTTGAAAAGCAAAATCCACCTCTCATTTGCTAAAAATGGCAGATCCTAATGCATTTGCACAAACATACACTTAAATCTCCACGATCTACCAAGACTTACACTGCACAGTGCAATGGAGTAAAAGGGTTTCCTTCTAGGTATGCAAATGGATTGTGTTCAAGTAACAATTCAAGACAATCTTCATGCCCTGGAAAGGGAGAAGAGAATTTATTAGATCACCTTCTAACCCCATTTTTATCGGCAAAATCTAGGATTTCTATGTGTGAGCTGTTTTTTAAAAATCTTTCAGATATTCAGGCAGCTTTAACACAGGCTGAAATTGGAAATTATAGCCACACTTTTTTGAATCTTGAATTAAATGAGACAGTCTGTTAACAAAGGCGGTGTTTACATATCATAACAGGAAAAAATTGGCATAATAAATTCAAGTTTGAATGCAAGACATGCACCCAAACACACAGACCCTTTTCTGAAGCACTGTTGCTTCTTCCATCTAAGCATTACAATAATCAGGAATTTGACACTTCAACACCATTCAAATCAGAGTTATAATGAAATGCTTCTAAATGGCCAGGTACGATTAGAAGTCAGATTTTAATTGAAGTTTAGAGTTGATCTGTGAGTCCTGGCTTGTTTGCAAGCATTTGGCGATACCTGCAGGTTTATTTAAGCTACACTGAAATGCAGAAATCAGTGTGGTTGGGTTTGTTCATAAAAGTAGAATGGGAGTCAGCTGCATGTCTTTTTTTTCCACCTTCTATATTAAGGCAAGATTTTTGCTTTAATATGATATATAAATCCTGACAAAGAAAAGTTCAGTAAGGTCAAATACCTTTCAGAACAATATTCTAGAGCAAGAAAAAATTTCCAAATTGAAGTAAGGAAATACAAATTAATCAAAATCAATACATGAATCCTGTGATTTAATGCAAAAAATAAAGATGATGATGATGATGATGATGATGATAATAATAATAATAATAATAATAATAATAATAATAATAATAATAATAAAAAATAATTTTCTGTTATTCCCTCACAAGAATTTTAAGTTATGTTTTGAAAGAACCCACAGAGTTTCCAGAAATGTTTATCAGATGATCACCAGAATGAGAAATCAGCAATAGAAAATATGCTTGCCAGAAAGACAATTTACCCACCACCACTGAATTCTCCTGCAATAAAACAGCTGAACATATCAGTATTCTGAAGAGGAGCGGTCTTCAATTTTCATCCACTAAAGCCAGTATGAACAAGTTCTAGAACAAGAGTGGAAAACTGTCCCATCAGCCATAGGTGACCCACACAGGATTCCTTTTGGGCCTGAGAGCAAATTTTAAGTAGGATTTTTGGAAGGCTTGGGAACTCTCTATTTTGCCCTCCTATAGGCAGAAAATGTAGACACCATCCACACTGGCAATGTCCCATAACCATACATCCCACAGCACCCCTGGAATCCAGCCATAAGATATTTGCCACAAGTAATCTAAAAATCTTGACAGATGACTCCAAGAAGGAAAGATCTATCCTACAATCTATTGAGCCACTGAATCTGTTGGAGATGTAATCACCTTTCAGGTAAATAGGCTGCATAAAACTGTTGAACATCCATAGTTTTAGCCATCCCAGTCTTCTGCTGCAACCATCATGTCCTATTATAGCAATTAACTTTGCGAAGTGTTGTAGCAGTGATTTAACTGGACAGATCTTATGATAGTCTCTCCCTGGCACAAGAAAATAACGAAGGAATGTATACATGAATTTCTACATCCTTACCACTGTATGAAGCCCAGTGCATTGGTGAATAGCCACTATAGTCCACTACAGAGTCCAGAGGGTCAGTAGAGAGCGCTGCCTGCAGCAAGGTCCTCAGGATTTCAGAATGCCCACACACCGAGGCAAAATGGATCGGGGTCCGGCCCTTGAAATCCCGACACAATACAAAGGCATCATGGTCCAGCAGTGCTGCAAGGCAGTCTTCACAGCCAGTAACAGCCTACAAAAAAGAATAGCAAGCAATGAAAAAAAGTTATCTATCACAAGTGGAAATAAGACTTGCAAAGCAGGCACTCAAAATATTTTCTTTATTCAATAATTCCAAGTTGCTGTTTTAATATTTCAGTCCTATCCGACTCTTGGTGACTTTATAGGTAAGTGCTCTCCATGCTACTCTGTCGAGCACAGCTCCTTTCAGTTGTTGGAAATTCATCTTTGTATCAGTTTTGATGCTATCAAGCCAGCATGCTTTTTGCTTGCTCTTTCTTCTTGTTCCACTAACCATTCCCAGCATCATTAACTTCTCCAATGAATTTGCACACATGACATGGTCAAAGTATTTCAGTCTTGTAATCCAAGTATCATGAAATAATAACAATAAATCTTGCACTATAAACAATAGAAACTTTTATTTTATTTTCGTATGAAAACTGATGCTGCTCAACTAGCATTTCTTTTGCCTATCTATTCCTTTCCAGCACAAGCATGTTTACAATCTTCATACAGGTAGTCCTTGCTTAACGACCTTAACTGGGATTGGCAAATCCACCACTAAGTAAAGCAATAGCTAATAGGAAATCACATGACCGCAACTGTGCTTTTTGGCAGGAAGGAGACAAGACTACTCTTGTTGTTTCACACATTTGATTCTTGTCCCCCTCCTTTGGAATGTCTGCTTACAGTCTTGCACACATCAAAAGCAATGCGATTGTGCCACAGCTGAGGCAGGGAGCCATGGATGCAGTATACAACCCACTCATGCTCTTGAAATCCCCTTTTCTCCATTCTCTTCATTTTGTGGCAAGAGAAAGGGGAGGGGGGGAAAAGCAAGCAATTTTGGTAGACAATCTCTCCCTTGCCTGACGCTTCTTTTGCTGCCAGTGATTGCACTGCTTTTGATGGGTAGAAGAGCAAACAGTTTACTATCTTGAAATCTGTTTCAAGAAGAGATTTATCTTCAATCTCTCTGCTCTGCAAAAATGGAATAAAGGGGGGGGGGGAAACACAGGTCAGACACAGGACAGCCTGTACTGACTATAGGCAATTGCATGACTGAAGGATGCTGCAACGGTTACAAATGAAATTGTTTTTTTCAGCAATGTTGTAACTTCAATCACAGAACAAATGGTTGGGAAGTGAGGAATACCTGTACAGCAGTGGTTCTCAACCTTTTTAATGCCGCGACCCCAACCGGTCGTAAGTCGAGGACTAAACCGGTCGTAAGTCGAGGACTACCCAATCGGTCGTAAGTCGAGGACTTTCCCTGCCCGGGAGCGCCGCGCATGCGTGGTTCCGCCCCCTGCGCCGGCCGAGGCGTAGCTGGCAAGCGGCAGAGACGGAGCAGGCCAACCATCAGCTGGCCCAGCCCAAGGGAGGTAAGGCACCCACCGGAAAAGGGGGAAAAAATGGCGGACAAAAAAAATGGCGGACAGCCTTGCTTGGCGACCCCCATGAAATGGTCGATCAACCCCAAATGGGGTTCCCGACCCACAGGTTGAGAACCACTGCTGTACAGTATACCAAATCCCAAGCACACTCTCTGGAATCAGTGGCAAGTGTGACAATTCAAAGATGAGGAACAGACAATGATTTGTATGCTCCAATGGAACACTTAAATATCTAATTTTTCACATCCACGACTATAAGGCTATTTCAGGATCTTGTTCGATCAATTCAGTATAGAGCTAATTTAATAACCTAAGACTCTAGAAACAATTCCTCCACTTACCCCCCGGTGCAGTGCAGTCCTGCCTCTTCTGTCTGCTGCATCCACTGTGGATCCCTTCTCTAGTAAGAGATGGACACAATCTACGTGGCCATTCATGATTGCCAACATCAATGGGGTCCTGTGAGAAAATCGAGAATAGGTCAGGCACTGGTGGCGCAGTGGTTAGAATGCAATATTGCAGGCTAATTTTGCTGACTGCCAGCAGTTCAATTCTCACAGGTCAAAAAGAGAGCTTCTAGCTGTTATTGCCCATTTTAGAAAAGAAGAAAAAATAGCAGAAATGGAAAAGCCATTTGGATGGAATATACTGATAAAGCTTCCAGTTGTAGCTTTGCACTAAAGAAAGCTTATTTCTGTGCATCTTCTTCTATAGCAGGGGTGTCAAACTGCCGGCCCGCGGGCCAGTTTCATCATACCGGAGCCACGCCCACCCCACTGCCGGCAATGGCGAAAAAACTCCAATATGTTGCGCGACGTCACATGACGTCGCGAGTTTGACATGTCTGTTCTATAGAAACAAGTTGGGTTCTCAGTTCTAGGGATTTTTTTCATTATAGATAGCAAGTAGAAAGAAAGGATTTTGCTTTAAAAAACGATGATTAACAGAACAAACCAAGCTCAAAATTCTAAAAAAAACCAAGCGCAGATATTTGAATTCATTAGGACACCTTCTTGTGGATCAAACAGAGAGACATAGCTTAAGGTTACCTCTATCATCTGCTCATATTATTTTCACTGAAATGTATTCTTTCCTCAGATTTTCAAGACAGCTAAATATTCTTTTTGGTCATTTTTTTAGTACTCTTATGGTGCTCCAATACATTTAGTTTAGTACCCCGTACCCTCTCTTGAATTTTTTTTGGAAAGGTTGTAAAAACCTAGTTCTCCTGTAAAGTTTTTCAGGCTTAACTGCTACAATTTGGAGTTAGGCTTGGAGCCAGATTTTTATAGAGCTACATTTGAGGTTTTAATTATGTTCTATTTGTAATTATATTTTTAAATTGCTAGGAATCAAATCTGATCATGACAGTTTCTAAATAAGTTAAAAAGAAAGATTTTAAATTTATTCAGAATATTTGTATGCCATCTGCTCCTTGGAGAAATACAATTAAAATAGACAGTGTGGAAATGGTTAAAACAACAAAATAGGACATTTTAAAATAATCAGAAAATAAAACTCACTAACACTATTACTATTAAAAGACCTAAATAAACAAATTTAAGCTTTATTTAAGCAAATAAATTTAATAATAAATTAATAATAAATAAACAAGAAAATGGAGAGGTCTGTCTTCAACTCTGCTAATACTTTTTGCCCCATCATGGAAATAAAAAAATATATTCTACAGATCTGATGTCCCTATGGGAAGATGCACAAAAGTTGCCTGTTGGTGATCACAGAGTGTTGAGCAGGCTGTATAAGAAGAGGCAGCCATATCAGTTTTTTGGTCTTTGACTACATAAGACCCTTGCAGAAACTTTGAATTAATCACTGGAGGCAAGCTGTGAAACTGTTTGAATATGGAGGCATCATTCACTACCTGTGTTCTTTATACCAGGCCAGATTAAATTTCTTGAATAGTTTGAAGGGTTGCTCCATAAAAAGCATATCATAACAATGAACTGTGGGATTACAAGCACGTAAATCACCAAAACCATCTGTCTCCTCTCCAAGAAAGGGAATTTACTGACAGAAGTATTTTTAAAAATCCCCTCTTTTTCACTGATGCTACTCAACTCCCCAACTTCAATGCTGGATCTAAAAAGACTTGCAAACTGCAAGCCTGATTGATATTCAAGGGGAAATGTATTTCAGGTGTTTCTCCTCTATGTAGAAGTCCACTCCCAAATGAGTAAGAACTCTTTAGTCTGCACTCTCCAGCTCTTAATTGCCTAGACACATTCAGAGCCCAGCTGGCAGGATATGCAGTCCTGCTTTGGATTTGTACAGCAAACTGGAATGTGTAAGGATCAAGCCCATTCCTGCTTGCCACTGGAATGACTTATAGACCGAATAAATAGATATCTATAGCTGGAGACTCACTGTCCATGGATGTCCATGACATCAGTGATGTCGACTCTCTCTCCACTGTCAATGAGAAGATGGAGGGAATCTGTGTTCCCATAGGCAGCTGTAAGAAATAAGATGAGAATATAATGAACAGGATTTCCTGCTTCTTAATAACTGTCATTTCTTTAAAGACCCAATGAATGCCCCAAGTCTGTTTGCAAGAGCAACCAAGAGAAGGAATCCCAGCGTCTCAATAGGAAATAAGACATGCTCATACCAGCAGCATGGAGGGGTGTCCACTTCTTCTTTTTCTCCTTCACAAGAGCAGAAGCACCATGGCTGGTGAGCACCTCCACGCATTCCGTAGAGCCCCTCTCCGTGGCAAGATACAAAGCTGTCCGCCCTTTGTGGTCCCGCACATCCAGGTTCACCAGGGTTTCGGCAAGCGTCTTCAGGGCTTCACAGTGACCATTATAGGCCTGAAAGCACATCAACAGGCAGACTGATTTAGGGAAGCTATGGATCAAGGGGAATTTAATGTAATGATGCAGACCTACAGCTTAGGTCCACTTTCCTCACTGCAAGAAATGTAACATTGGCATTCGAACGGTAATTACCGTAATTAAATTTGTCCCAACTGTACCCAATATGGCTTTATAATAATGAGACTTACAGCTAAGTGCAAAGGGCTGACTGGAATGGTGCTTTCCACATCGTCCAGGCAGTTAAACGACATTTCCAGGAGCTGAAATGAAAAAGCTTGGAATCTAATTTCAACCATAGAAATGCTTCAACCATCTAGCTTTTAGAACCCCTGAGATCTATTTATTTAACGTATGGGAAGAACCTCTGGGAATAATGACTAAAGAACCTATATCATTTCCCTAGTCTAGGAATTATATGTGTTCCCCAAAATTACTGTTATTATTAAAAGAGTATGATGAGATAGGTTTTTAATTTAGGAGCAAGGTACAAAGCTTCTGACAACTTGTTTCTAAGTACCTAAAATTTAATTCCTGATCATGAAAGCATTTTCCCAAGGTACTTCAGTAGCACATTATAAATATATTACTTTGCTACATTTCTGAAGGCTTTTTAATATATAAAACATTACTCTGTAAAAATAATTGTTGTCTAGGAAAAAATACAGGTAGTCCTCAACTTGCAACAGTTCATTTAGTGACCATTTGAAGTTACAATGGCACTGAAAAAAGTGACTTGTGACCATTTTTCACACTTATGGCCGTTGTAGGTTCCCCACGGTCACGTGATCAAAATCCAGATGCTTGGCAACTGGCATATATTTACGACAGTTGCCATGTCCCTTTTGCAACTTTCTGACAAGCAAAGTCAATGGGGAAGCCAGACTTAACTGTGTTACTAACTTAACAACTGCAGTGATTCACTTAACAAATGTGGCAAGAAAGGCCGTAAAATGGGGCAGAACTCACTTAACAAATGTCTCGCTTAGCAACAGGGTTTGGGGCTCAATAGAGGTCATGTCGAGGACTACTGTATATTTTCCAAATGCCTTAATATACAAACTCCAGGAAATGTTTTTCCATTGCAAATATCCACATTGGGGCTTGCAAATGAAGATCTATGGTGAACCAGATGTCTCTGAAGGGGCGGGGACAGCATTGTGGTAGCGATTAGCAGCCAGATGATGGAATTCTGGCCTGCACCATCTTTCCAGATAAAGGGGAGACATGAGATTGCCCACTTGCACTCCAGAATGCTGCAGGAACAAAGGTATTCGTGGTCAACTTGTGAGTTGAATGCTTGGGAATTGAGAGATTCCAATCTAGCTCACAGCTATGATGCAGCCTATGTGG